TATCCACGTCCTTTGCTCATTTTTAAATTGGGTTGTTAGTCTTTTTGTTGTTGAGTATTTTTTCCCATAATTCAATCATCATCTCCTGCGTCAGGCTGAGGAACAGACACCGTGCCTGCCCACCTGGAGCTGATGGCACAGCCACAGACAGACATGAGTCCTACGATCACCCAGCTCATCAGTGCTGAGGAAGAAAGGTGCAGGCGACTATGCTGATGGGAATCACAGGGCTGCGGGGCAGGAAAAGCAGGCTTCAACAAGGCAGTGATATGCAAGGGATTCAGAAATTCCTGCCGTTTTTCTGAATTCTGCTTTTAAAGTCAAGCTAGGAGTCCTAGGGGAGTGCAAATGGTTAAGCACTCAACAACTAACCGAAAGGCTGGGGGTTCAAATCCACCCAGAGGTGCCTCAGAAGAAAGGTCTGGAGATCTGATTCTGAAAGGTCACAGCCTTGAAAATCCTGTGGAGTGCAGTTCTACTCTGACACAAGTGGGGTCGCCGTGAGTCGGAATCAACTCGACAGCAGTTTGCTTGTGTATTTATTTCTTTATTTTCATCAAAGACTGACAGCCTCATCTACAGCCAATGAGACCAGCTGGCTAAGAGGCACTGAGTGCATAGCTAGCCCCAGCAGAACAAGCCGCCCTCGGCAGCAGAGGGAAGCGGACACAGCCTCTCCCCAGAGGGTCCCCTGCTTCACATCACCGAACAGCACATGGGTCTGGGAGTGAGCTCTGAGCGGCTTTGATGTGCCAGGGTACATCGGCTTTGCCATCCCCAAGTGGAAGAAGGTCTGATTCAAACAGCATCTGTCTATTCCCTCAACAAGGTTTACTGCAGTGCCCACTCCTCGCCAGCAACTCTACTGGGCACGGGGAGGACAGGGGCTGGTGGTGGAGGTGAGGTGTCACAGGACAATTTCATGAGTGTGTTACAGACCAGGAGGAAGCCCGGGAGCTGCCAGAGCGGCAAGGAAGGACATTGGCCAGAATGCTGGGCAGGCAGGTACCATCAGGAGGGCTTCATCCTTTGAAAGACAAGCCGGAGCTGGGCTGGTAGTCAGAGGGGAAGGACATGGCCCGCAGAGGGGCAGCGTGGACCTGGACGTGCTCTAACAACCTCCCAAAGAAATCTCCATCCACCAAATGATCCACAAAATGTCCCTGTAAGTTGTAAATAAACAAATCTGTTACCGATGTTATGGTGGGTTAACATCTGTTAGAACCGGAAAATTGGTATTATGCAGAATTTATGATAAAGCTGAGTTATAGCTCTGTCTGCTTCACTTGCCTTCCATAACGTAACACTAAACAACGACAGGACAGAGTGGGTTTAAGGAGCACCATGAATGTTTCTACAGGATTGGAGAGACTACGGCCGCCATCGCTTTGCTTTTATGGCACATCTGTGAGGTGATTCGGGTACGGCCTTGGTCAGGAAATCAGGTTCTAATTCTCTCACCGCTCCTGGTGGGGAACACGCTTCACTTGATGACTCACTTTGTGCCATGATATTTACGTAAGAGAAGGCTGACGCTAAAGGACTCTTGCTTGAGGGCAAAACCAGAAACCCACCCCAAATGGAGGAACAACATCGGAGGGTAACAGCATCTACACCCACCAACAGGAGGGGTGAATATTCCAGGATAAGGTGGAACCACATACAAGGAGCGCTGTTTTAGTAAGAAACACAGTAATCACGTCGCTAATAATGAGTATAACAATAAGATCGATTTCTCTACTGAATTTCATCATCACGACAACCAGGTGAAGTAGGTAAATTGGTAAGGCAGATGCGATTGCCCCCATTCTACAGATATGGAGACTGAGGCTCAGAGCGACATTAAGGGGATTGTCCTGGGTCACACAGATGGTGCCAGGTGGAATCAGGACTTTGGACTCTCAGGGTTCATTCCACACTCATATTCACCCATGAAGGTTCAATAAAGCAATCAGGACAAGCACCCCCCCCAACCAAGTTGGGCCCACCCCCCGGGAACGGCCCGAAAAAAGGCCAAAAAAAAAGGGCCCCCCGCCTTGGGGCCCCCGGGGGGGGCAGAGCCATCCTTCACCACCGGCACGGACCCCGCCAAGTCCTGATCTGTAGATGATCCACAATCTTGCTTTCAGATGAATCACTAGTTCTGCAGACGACAGAGTCAGCCAGCTCATCATGAATGAGGCAATGAATGCCCAGCGTTCAGCACAGGGCCTGGCTGTCATTTAATGCTTATCCTCCTCCCCCTTTCAATTAGCTATAGAGAACTGTGCCTCCAGGGCTACTGAGCATGACCTTGACACTGGAACAGACAGATGGGACCTTCCCCTGGGATGCCAAACTCAGCCGTGGCCACGGTCTCTCAGCATGACACGGCCCTCGGGCCACGAGTCATTGGAATTACCTCCTCACACTTCACACTGTTGCATAGTCTTATACCAGCTACACTTTCCCTGGAAAAATGCCAGCGAAGTAGATGACCGGCATGCCACCGCACCGTGACATTGCACCCATCTTTGCAAGCGTGAGAGTGGGGGCATTTGCAGAGTCTCCTCTTTTATGGGTGTTCCCTATAATTCTCTCCATACAGCGGGCCCTTGGAAATGCCAGGAAGCATTTCTCCAGTGGCCACCAGCATCACCAAGGACCTGGGTGGCGACACGCCCCGCTCCTCTCAGCAAAGCAACCACGAGCTTCACCAGGAATGGAGTTCTCCGTTTAAATGCAGCTCTTCCTTGTCAGAAAATACAATTATTTATTCCTAAAAAGAGTCAAAGTGTTTTTTGTTGTTGTTGTTGTTTTCTTGCGTTTGGGTCTTCGTGGTAAATGTTTTGAGTCTTGACAGCTAAAGAGGGAGTAGGGACTAGAATTTTCCTAACGGCCTTAGAGCATGCATTCTCAATAAGGGCGGTATCATCCCCGAGGGGAGAAACCGGTTCTTTGGAGGCTTAACAATCTTAGCTACTGCAATGCTTTGTGGTTCTACAAACCTCGACCCTACTCAACAAAGTCTTACTCCTTAGTATTTAATATGATGAGGAGGGCTATTAAGACAGAAATATCTAAAAAGGCTCCTTAGGAGGGCAACAGTGGGGAACGGAAGTTAAGAAACAACGGCCTTAGCCAGCAGCCGGGCTTCAAAGACGCTTAACCTCTTCCACACTGTTTCGCCTTCTCTGAAACAGGAATTAAACTTTGCCGGGCTGGCATCTGCTGACTTCCAGGCACTGCTGCTTCTTTCCTTCTCTCCCAAAGGGATAAAATAAGGAGCCCCTTCTTCTAAATTTCTGGTAACGTATCAGAAGGAAATCATTCTCATAGGATGGTACAATGATATGCACACTTGTTGCAGGGTGTTTTACATTTTCTCAGTATTAATTAAATTTGGGAGATATCAAAACGCTCCGGAACAAGAAAATGTTGAGAAAACTATGACGTTTCCACTCACCAGCATATTCCGCAACACTACAATTGTAATTATGAAGACAGTAAGGAAAAATGGCTAATGAGCGAATACTGAACGAGAGAAGCAGGGCAAAGTTGGAACTGTTCTATGACCCAAACCGGGTGAATTTTGTGAA